TCTGTGAAGGATATTCGCCGTGGCAACGTGGCTGGAGACAGCAGGAACGACCCGCCACAGGAGGCAGCTGGCTTCACTTCTCAGGTGTGCTGTCAGTAGTGTGAAATGCACATCCTTCCTTCTGTTCCTCTCCAGGTTTACAAATAATACCTGTGTCTGCTGCCCTGCAGGTGATTATCCTGAACCACCCTGGTCAGATCAGTGCTGGATATGCCCCCGTGCTGGACTGCCACACTGCACACATTGCGTGCAAGTTTGCTGAGCTGAAGGAAAAGATTGACCGTCGCTCTGGTAAGAAGCTCGAGGACAACCCCAAGTCCCTGAAGTCTGGAGATGCCGCCATTGTTGATATGATCCCCGGGAAGCCCATGTGTGTGGAGAGCTTCTCTGAGTACCCGCCGCTCGGTAGGTTTTTTTTAATCCTGAAACTGGATTTTGTGGATCTAAATTTTAGCTTTATTTGACTGTGAATTATCCAAACTTTACTCTCACTGACAGTAAGAAATTAGTTTTCAATTCAAACTAAAACCAGATTATTGGCGATGCCTGTAGAACAACATGTACTGAAGGCTTTGTCCCCACTGCAGATGCCTGGGTTCGATTCCAGCTCAAATAATCTCTCTATTCACCCCACAGTTATCTGTCACTGTCTAATAAAGGTGAAAAGGACAGAAATATATCTTAAAATGCCAAATTTATTATTTGCATAAATTCAATGGATATTCTAAACTTGATCATATAGGTGAATATTAAAAAAAATATTTAAAAAATTTTTTTTTAAATTATTTTTTGGAGAGAAGCAGCACTCTCGATAGCTTCCTGTCTATCCAGCAGCACAGAAAGAAAGGGTGGGGGCACAGGTGACCATATACCACATGGTCGAAGTGCTGCATCTTCTCTCTCTCCACCTTCTAGTCTGTCTTCACTGCTTTATTTAATCAGTGAACATAAATGGACAGTTATGGATAGCTGAAGTTAAACAATTTTAAAATCATAAAATTTGCCCGTTAGGGAGAACACAACTTCTGAATCAGAGGATCGTCTGTCATGCGTGACATTTTTCTATCAGACGAATAAAACAATAAAAAAAAAGAAGCTAAATATCCCTGGATTCCTGTTACATGTCTGTGTGTGTGTAAAAATAACAACATCACTCTGACTCTGCACAAACCCAAAGCAACGGGTTATTTCCCCTTTCTACATTTGTTCTCAAGAAAAACAGGAAGTGGTTTTAGTAGCTGAATAAGTTCATCACTAAGTTATTAGGTGAAAAGTCACATAGACATTTAGATTGCTTAAACAACAGAAAACACATTTCATGAAGCTGATCAAATTATATAAAAACAAAAATCTCCTCTCTGTATGTTAATGCACATTTTTTACCAATAATTCTTCCTCAGGGCGCTTTGCTGTCCGTGACATGCGTCAGACGGTGGCGGTGGGTGTCATCAAAGGCGTGGAAAAGAAAGCCGCCACGAGTGGTAAGATCACCAAATCGGCACAGAAGGCGCAGAAGGCCAAATGAACGTTGTGCTGGGCTGCTGCCCCAAACGCTCACCATGGCCGAAGACACACCCCGCCCCTTCTGCACTCCATAGTCAGCGTCTGGTCTATTATCACAATGCATCGCAAAAGCAGACGAAGGAAAAAAACTAACCAAAACGCTGTTAGTGCTCGTCTTATGTAGGTTTTATTGCAGCAGAACACAATAGGTTTGCGTTACAGTTCTCTGCCTGTTGAAGTTAATGATTCAGCTTCTCGTGGATCTAGACGACAATCGTAGTGACGAGGCAGACGCGTTCTTTTGTCAGCTCTTCGTTCATGTAAGCTCTGTGTTGTAGCTTTAACAAAAAGATAAACTTGTTAGCCTGAGGTAGATCAGCTTCTTGCATGTTTGCACCTTAGAGAAACTCTCCGTGCCTCGCACTTTGCTCAACTTAAACTCCCTCCAAGTAGCTCTGATAAATGTTACTGTTAAGTTCACCTTAACCGCTGTTATTTGTGATTCTACGTTCATACAAGTAAAGGTGTTTAAACATTATCTCTCTGCTCCTCATTTCATTCAAATCAAAACCACCAAAAAACATCTGTAGAATTTCCTTTATTGATGAATGAGAATAAAAGTTTGCTTGCATTTACATTACAGGCTTCATAAATCTGAGATTATTACTAGTGTGTAAATATGTGAACATAATTTAAATAAATTAAAATGACACACAGACAGAATGGTAACATGTCAAAGGTCCATTTTTAGCTCAATAGCAAAATCTCTGAATATAAAAACTAAAATGCCTCAAGTAAGGACCTAATGAGAGGAAATAAAGACAGTGCAATCATCTCTGTGTGGAGGAACCTAATGCACCTTTCAGAAACTAAATTAACTCAAAGCTCAATATGTACCATACAAGCAAGGCACCGGTATACTGGATGTACTGCACATTTTGTAGACTTCATATCAGAGCTGGGCTCCTTGATTTTAAACTCAAGTGATGGCATAGCATTCATTATCACTTCTAGATAGGTTTGGATATGGCAGCCTCTTCATGCAAAGGAGATTAAAATCCATTCTTCAAAGCAAACTAAACTTCCTTAAACTTTTCTGGTTTTTGGTAAGGGGTATCTGCAGAATCTATTCAGGTGTTTTATGTCATGCATCTATAGATCAGTCCACGTTCTACCCTGCTATTTAGCCTGTCTGTGTCACACGGGCAGGGACACTCAGGTCCACAATTGTAGGTGAGGGTAGAAATGTAGATCGACCAGATGGGCAGTTTTTACCTGTGATAGCCAGAGGTGGACCAATCACCAAAACTGATCTGCATCTAGCTGTGCTGTAATAGTTTTCCCAAGTACCAGAAAAACCTACTTAACCGTATCAAATGCATCTAATTCTCTAACATGCAACAAGGAGGTTTGACATTGCTTTTCTTGTTTTAATGTCAATACTCAGCGACTATACATTCTGTAGCCAGGAAGCAAAAATAATCCCCACATCACAGAGTATAGAAAAAAAGCAAACATTGACCATGATTTTAAATAAGAGTTTAAAAATCTTCCCTCATGTAAGAACAGGCCGGGAGAAAAGCCAGATACAAGAAAAACTCGTACGTCGAAACATTTCCTTCAGTGTTTCTGAACCAAAACAAAGTGCTTTGCCAGGTCACACACCTGTTCTGACATTAAGCAATTCTCTTAAACCAGGTAATGACATTGGAGATGTTCTTCAATCCATGGCTGCGATCGGCAGGGAAACCAACCAGTCGGTGCATAATTGATGTGAAGTTAACAGCCGCTGCTTGTAACCTCTGTTGACGTCCTCACTGGCTGCTGGTGGGAATGGGCATTCTTCTTTGTACACGTGTGCATACAGCAAACTTGCATGCATGCCTTTGAAACATGATTTGAGTTCAGGGGTTTTACGGCCACCCATCAAAGAGACCAACATTTTTTAACATGGGGTTTAATTTATCCAAGGAAATGGTCAGAAATAACAATTTGTGTTGGCTCTTCATGCTTGGTCAACCCCAAAGACTCATTCTGACCAGAAAAATAACTCCCTGAGCCAATAGCAGGGAACTCAACCTCAAACACAACTGGGCATTTGAAAGAAGGTAACAAATAGATGGTGAGCTATGACCTCGGGCTGAGGATTGGTGGTGGTGTTGACAAAAAAGTGATCGTCTGCCAAAAAAATGATTGCCTGTATTTAAACTACTGTAAATCACTTGTTAGCCTATAATATATAAAACATGTATACCTCATGAATGATATCAAGTCATCTTGAGCTACAACAGCATTCCTGCCACAAGGTAGAAGCTGCAGAGTTTTTGGCGTTTATATATGTAGGGCCGCACGGTGCCGTGCTGGTTAGCACTGTTGCCTCAGACAGCTCAACTCCACAATCTGGCCAGGACCCTTCTGTGTGGCGTTTGCATTTTCTCCCTGTGTTTGTGTGGGTTCTCAAGCTTCCTCCCACACTCCACAGACATGCAGTTTGTGGGGTTAGGTTAATTGGTCATTCTAAATTGCCCATAGGTGGGAATGGTTGTCTGTCCCTACACGTTAGCCCTGCGACAGACTGGCGACCTGTCCAGGGCATATCCTGCCTCTCGCCTATGGTAGACGACACAGGCTAGAGTCCCACCCCGTAACCCTGGTAAGGATAAGTGGAAGAGAATAGATGCATATATATCCTTTATTTATCCAGTTAACAAATCTCATTGATATCAAAAATGTCTTTAAGAGTGATCTGGTCAAGAGCGCAGCAGTAGTTGAAACAAATACGACTTATGCGACGTTTTAAGAGACCAACATGGTCACAAAGACACTTGCAAAACTGGTCATTTTGTTATTTTATGTAAAACTCCTTTTTAAAATCCTGTTCAAGTCTATTAATCAATATAAATAAAGACATTACAAATAAAACACACACTGAAACATCAGGAATCACTTTTTTGGCAGACTATCACTTTGTTGTTGTAACGCCAGCTCCTGGGCTGATCCCACAAATAGCAAGGAGAGAGGGCGGGGCATGGAAACAAGAATATACAAATATGTAGGGCAGGAAACATTTGTAGACCAACGGCTTGAAGAGGGTGTTGTGAGGAGTGGTTCCACTCCCCAACTTAAGATAAAATCTACACTTAAATGTACCTGTTGTGTTTGGAAAAAGCCCAAAGTACACAAAAGTTGGGCTTTGTGATAAAGCATATCTTTTCTTCCCGCTGAACCTCTGAGTAGCAGCTTATGGTTTTATAAGTTTCAAAATAAGACACCAAAAGAATCTGAGTTTAAGTGAACAAAGACTATATAAGATGGAGGTAGCCACTCTGCTTTCACCTATCGGTTACTCATTTCCTGCTATGAAGCACTTTTGGGGTTCCCATCTTGGTGTTTTTGAAAGCAGAGGTGGAGCTGATGGTGAAACTGAGGGACACTTAATGCCCATATGTTCACCCTGTAAACCTGCTTTATGTCCTGCACAGTAATAGGGATCACGATTCACAAAATGAACAATATTTTACTTGAAACTAGTGATGTTAACTATGAACCCATCGAGGAAGTGAGCAGCAGGGACATTTCTTTCTCAGTTTATACAACAGGGCTTTCTTTTTGAACCAAGGGAGTGTCCCCCTGCTGGCCATCAAAAAGAATGCAGGTTTAACGCACTTCTGCATTGACTTCACTTTTCAGATCTAGAAGCTACGTCCATCTCTTATATACAGTCAGTGATTGTGGTTGAACAGTCCAAAAATATCATTTTACCTTGATGGAAAACATAAGAGATAAAGAACCATGGTGCTCAGAGAATCTAACTGTACTTATACTAACATAACAATACTTGATAACATCATTATGCTCCAATACATCAGTGTATATATTTTTTCTTTTTTGGGGGGGCCCTACAAGCACAAACAGGAGCCCATTTGTTCATTTTAATTACTGACAATCAAATCTCTGAATGCAACTGGCCCCTCCCCTACCTTCCCTGTGTGTTCTTGCACCTTATAAAACAGAGTTCCAAAATTGTGTTGAGGACAACAACCTAAAACCACAAGAAATTTGTTGTTCTTGCTGTAAAGACGGAAAAAAAAAACATGCATGAAAACGTAAATCGTATTGCCTGTATTCACATTACACTGGTATATTCCTTTTTAATAGAGTTCTTTTTAAAGGTTTGATTGAAACTAAAATGATTTAAATTCTGTCCTTTTGAACGTATTGCTTTAGTTTCATAAAATTTACCCTCTTAACTTCAGATTACCTGTACAGATTATGGTTAAAGTTGGGTCTTATTTTAGCCACAAGGCCAAATTTCCAGAAACAAAGACGACGTTACATCTCAGAATTAAGTCTTGTTCATTTCCACATTACAGTTTTTCTATAAAAAGATTTTCCATTTTCCAAACAGGTGAAAATGTTCAAAAATGGGTTGAATGCTAAGAAACCGAAACCTAAGATATGTCATCAATGACCTTGTGAATCTTAAGAGGTTAAAGATGGGAAAGAAAGAATGCATCTGGCAGTAGTGATCATTTCAGTGTGGAAACGTCTTGTTTGATGGGAGACACACAAAATGTGGCTTTTATACACTGAACATGGCCATTCTCAGAGAGGGTTTCAATAAGTGTTAGGAGCCCATGCCCTCGACTGCAAACTTTACCTTTCAAATCTCTGTACCTCTTTACAATAAGCATGCACTCCATGCTGTATGTCAAGGTCTCATATCAACCCGAGTTTAACAGCGGAGGTTTTTGGGTGTCTCTGTTGTCGTTTCTCAGGCTCTTATCTCAGATTTGTCAATCACACTTTAAAACAAAACTCATGCAATGATATGTCATATGGTCAGCCTGTATGAAAATACTGTGATTCTTATCAAATGGATCAACATGAATATAAACAGAAGAAGACCCCATGTAATATTCCCACCCACCCACTTCCCTCCAAAAAGGATAAAAACCGTCTTTTTGAGGTGAGATTGGTGTACCTTCCCGACATGTAGCTGGGTCTATTTTAGCCGTACGTGTGGCATGTTCAGCAACTCGTTGCTGCCAGTAGAGGGCAAGGATGCGTGACCGCTGGCCAGACTGCGGTTTGAGCCCTGGGTCCCTGCTCCGGCTCTGCCGCCTGTCCTCAGGAGTTCTGAGGAGTAAGTCGGAGTCTCAGCAGACCCCTGTGACAAGAAGTCAAGTCCCTGCGTCTCAATGTCTCTATCACTGATAAAGAGGTCCTCCTCACCCCACCCACCTCCACTCCTCCTACCTGTACCGCCCCCTCCTCCCCCAGGATCTTGGCTACAGCTATGGAAGCCAATGGGGGAGTCACTGCTTGTACTGGGGCTTGGAGATGACAGGCTGTGGCCGTGATGGGTGGGGGCTACTTGCTTCAGATCCTGCACTGACATGGACTTGCCCAATCCTCGGTCCATCTCGTTGGACCCAGAGCTGCAGCCCAGCGCTGGTGGCACCAGGGGCTCCAGCTCCAAGCTCATTTGTCTCCTCCAAGATCCCTCCTCCTTTGTGCTAAGCCTGCTGTTGCTGTTCCCTTGGAGCTGCTGCCCCAATCTGTTGAGCCCCAACCCAAGGCCCTTCCCGACAACGCTGTCCTCCATCTGTGTCCCAAGACCTCCACAAAAGTCCTCTATGTCAGGGGATACCTCTATGGAGGCTGTTCGCACTAAAGTGCCTGGGCCGTGACTTCGGCTAGGAGGGGGTGGAGGTGGAAGCCTCGCCAGAAGAGGAAACCCACCATCTCTTACTCCTCTGTCCCCTGAACTGCTGACACTGTTCGGGGTGAGGATGGGTGGAGAACTACCCATAGCCTCATCAGTGCCACTTTCAGGTGTGGTGGCCTGAGCCTGGGGATGGTGGTGGTGGCGATGGTGATGATGATGTGGCAGGGGCGATGGGCTGAAAGAGGATGATGCGAGGCCAGAGGGAGGCGTGGAAGAGGGGGCATTGAGATTGAGGTTGAGCTCGTTGGGGGGCCCCAGGATGAGATGGAGTCCTCCCTGCGAGAGATGAGAACTGGTGGAGGAGCGAGTGACGAAGCCACTGGTGGGCGGCGCTCCACTGCTGCTGACCTGGGTGGAGCAGGACATGTCCTTGCTGAAGACAGAGGAGTGGTAGTCTGAAGTCTGTTCCAGCTCGAAGAGGGGAAGAGAGGAAAGCGTGAGGGCCGAAGACGAGCCTTTACGCAGAACCTGACGATAAATGTCGAGCAGGGAGTCCAGCTTCGACTCAATCGACTGGACCTGTGAGCAGAGAAGAGGAATAAAGGAGTGATCTACCGCCACATCTGGCAGAATGTACAGATGCTCTAAGTGTCGATTTGAATGCTTGAGAATCAGGTCTGGGGGCTCATAGCTACCTCAACAGCATCTTGCTTTCTACCAGATGTTTGTTTTAAGCTTTAGGATTCATATGCATTTGCCACTTTCAACTTGTGCACCTGAAAAAAATCAATTTGCTGTAAAGAGTAAAATGTGATTCAGGGCCGTCTTAATAAGGTTTTGAATTCTACCCATTGTGACAAATACCAAAATAAAATGATCAGTAAGATGTTTTAGTCTTATAAGCAGTTTGGAGATGAATGTGATTAGCTGAGTTAGTCTAATGTTGCATAAAAACTGGAAGTGGGACAGAGCCGGAATACCAACAAGTTTATTTCCTGTAACTTTAGGAAACTTAAACGCAGTCGAGATGGATCACATTTTACTGTATTTAGCTGGTTTGCTGTCGATGGACTGGCACTTACGTAGCGCTGTTCTAGTCTTATTGACCAGAAACACTGGGGGCATTTTGGGGTACGTAATGAGGACCGGGGGCAGCAAGGATCCAAACACTGAAGTTCCAATTAGCAAAAACCCTGATCCTCTCAACCTCCTGAAATTTTAAGAACAAAACCCAGAGGACGGACCTGTCGCTCCACCTTACAGACGCGACCCAGCATGCTCATGTCCTCCAGTATATCGCCATCAGAGAGCAGCTTGTCTCGAATCTTCTTATCCAGAGGAATTTGGCCCTTCCCAAGGATTTGGTCCACCCTGAAATGCACAGAAATACAAGCAAACACAATAAGATATTAATTTTAAAATGTACAAAGGAGGACTACAAAAGGAAGGAAAATTAGAACCGTTTATCTAAAGTAAACCTTTCCCCGAATAAAACAAATCCAAACACGAGAGATTATTCTTCCTCACTGGACTTCACACTTCCAAACATTACCAACCAGATTACATTTTACCAATTAACAATACAACTTTTTATTTCAGACTCTAAACATTAGAGTCTTATATTTTGGTTTACACATGATTATATTTATGTCTAAATGCTAAATCCAGTCAGGCTCTGTGGGATCTGGTTAATAAAGTCTGTTTGTGTTAAAGCTGACAGAGAGCACAGAAAAACTGAGCCAAGATCATGCAATCACGAGTTCACCAAAAGGAAGAAGAAAAAGTCAGGTGTGGACACCCTGTATGTCACCACTAAATCATGCTAGAAGAAAAGGGGATCGAGCACTACACCGGGAAGTTAGATCTGGATTCTAAAACTGTATTTTTACAGGAGGAAGCGAGAAGATTTACGACACTCGTTCATTGTAAATCAGTCCAATTTCAAATAAGAAATGTAATTCAGGATAAGATGGGCAGGAACCGAATGATTCACGCTCCTCTTGAATATGAAACATGCAGATCAAATGTAGACGATCTGGGGATTGTAATTGTGGACTGGATCCAAATATAGACAAGACCAGCCTCCATGTAACATTTTAAACATTTTACTAAAAAAAACAAAAACATTTTGCGTAAATTTAAGGACTGTTACAGCTTTCTCTATTCTAATCTTACAGATGTTTTTCATATATTACAGTGAGGTCATGGCAGGTTGAAGTTATTTGTGGCTGGAGCTTGCTGACCTGTGTTAGACTCTACTCGTGACTACGAGATGTGTTTAAAAAAAAAAAGAAGCATGTTGACAGGCCCTCCACCCTTTGCAAGTCGGATTGGCTCATCTGCAGCAACAGAGTGCACACAGCATCAGCAGGGGGCAGTGTTGCAACAGCAATGACAGGTGAAACCTTCTGGTGTGTGATTGGAGTGTGTCTAAAACATGTTAGCATCACATTGCAAACTCCTTTCCCAGAACAGAAGTCAATTTACTTAAGAGATCTGTTAGTGGCTGGTTAGTAGCAGATATATCCAGGACGTGTTTGTGTGTGGGAGCAGAGTGTGGCTCGAAGCTCAGTTAATTCAGGCTTTAGCTCGTCAACCAGGGGCCTCATTTATCAAATCATCAGAGGAAAAAAGCTCCAAACTTACACGTTTTTAAAACCTGCAGACAACTTGGATTTATCATGCATATAAAGGCGGTGACAAATCCCGAACTTTCAACCGCTTCTCCTTAAAAGCCTCGGGTGGCACATGTGGAACAAGAAGTGAAGGTAAAGGCAACAAAACAACACTGGCAGCAATGTAAAGGTCCTGATTAACAAAGACAAGCAAATCTATCAGTTTTATGGAGGACTGGAAGGAGTAGTACTGTACTGCACTATGTGTCAACTCAAGCTGATTTAGGCTTCATCTGTCCCCTTCCTGACAAACCTGCCAGTCTCTTAGGACACACAGCATGCTTCAGGGGCTTACATCATTGTTAAATGGTAAGCTGAAATCCTTTGAGTTTGGGATTTATAGAGCTGTGTTTGTAATTGTTCTTCAATGTGAAAACTGTACACATAAAAATAGTTTAATGTCCTGGTGAGCAGTGAAAACAAGGTTCATTCATAAAAGTTTCCAAGCAGTGCTACTAAGTGAATTTTGGATCAAGAGGGTCTTTGCCTGTCCAAAATCAGAAGTGAGATGTTGGCACAGCTGAAGTATAGTATTATGTACTCGTCAGCCACTCAACACCATCTACAAAGGAGGTCCCCGCAGTCCTTAGACATGCACGCTGCACACCATCCATTTCTCTATTTTATCTCTGGTGAGCCAGGCTCAGCAACTGCCGGTTTCTATGGATCAGTTGATCCAGACCTAACTATATGCTTTGTCAAAGGGAAAGTTTTAAGCCTAATCTTAAAAGTAGAATCCAAACTGGGAGTTTCCACAGAAGAGGGGCCTGAAAGCTGAAGGGTCTACCTCCCATTCTACTTTTAAATACTCTAGGAACCACAAGTCAGCCCGCAGTCTGAGAGGGAAGTGCTCTAATGGGTTTATATGGTACTATAAGGTCATTAAAATAAAATGGGGCCTTTTAAATTTGATTCTGGATTTAACAGGAAGCCAATGAAGGGAAGCCAATATGGGGGCAAATATGCTCTCTCTTTCTAGCAAAAAATGAACTCAACAGTTGTACTAATTGTCCCGAGTGCATGTTTTGTAAACCTCATTGCCATCACTTCTCCATGAAGGGGCGGTCAGGTATGCTGGACTAACGAATGGTTGATAAATGAGGCCGCACTTTATGTTTTCCTTCACGTTTCTGACAACAAACCAGCTCCTGAATTGTGCGACTGAGGAGTGAACTGAACCCATGTGACATGCGAATGACAGAGTAGGTGGGTAGATTGAGTAAGTTGGGGGAATTCTGACCCCTGGGTGGAGTTCTTCCTCCCCTGGCTGTAATAGACAGACAGGGAGGGGGAGGAAAAGGCCTTGGCTCGGCTGCTCAGGGGCTGTGGGCCTACTATCATGTCCAGCCTGGAGAGAAGCAAACACAGGTACAAACATGCAAAAACACAAACTGCAAAAAGAAAAAAACAGCGTGAGATAAACCCATGCATGTATAAGGAATGCATACACACATGCAGATCTTTTGCAGTACAATGTCCGTCCTACCTGGTCTGCAGGCTCTTGATGCGGCACAGCATGTCCAGGTGACCGGCAGAGTACTGTTCGATCACGTCCTTCACATCATACGGACGCAGCGTCTCCTTAAACTTCTTCTTGGCTACATGAAACTTCATGATCCTGCATGAACAGCACAGAAGTTCATAAATTCACCAGAAGGGGGAGCTGTGGTCCAGCCGTGACACTGCCAGCCTGAGCTAATGTAAACAAATTAAAGCCTGCATTTATTTTGATAGTGCTTAATGGTGCTTTTAATGTGTCGACCTGTTTGTTCACAGCATTTCAAACGCTCAGAACAATCACTTTCTCAGAAAAAAGGCAGATTTTAGCTGCATGTGTATGTGGATGGAAACACCTGTGGAGCACTGAGGCTGAATTCAAGGGAACGTGGCTGAAAGTGGAGAGTCAAAGGGGTCGGAAACAATGAAAACATGCTGGATTATATTGTCACAGCCTTCCGATATACAGTTTTGGTCCATGTGAATGCTTCAAAATATCAAAAATATTTAATAAGATGCTCAGCCAGCATCATTTCATAGAGCAAAACAGGAGGTCCCGATGATGTAGTTTACATGTACATACCACTGAGCCTTCTGACACGAAATGTGATGCATATAAAAATGTACAAGTGACAAGTTATGAGGTGAATGGCATACCTGGCTTCTGCTATTGTTAGATTTGACTCAAAGAACATTTTTGCTGCAGCTGCAAATCTCATTTAGTGACTTCCTGAATTTGCCGTACCCCTGACTTACCTTCGCATCTCTGTGCTGTCATGTGGTTTCAGAATGTACCTCAGAATGTGAGACTGTTGTGAGTGAGTGCATACACAAAACTCTACTATGGGCTTGAACATTAGTTTTCCTTTGGGTGCGTTCTGCGTAAGGAAGCTCGTTAGCTTGCAGGTGCCATGGAAGTGAGCACGTCTGTTTAGCTTCTTGGCCCCTCAGTGGCCTCGAGTTTGGCACGTAGGACATTTGATTAGTGAATTTACACTTTTCTTTGCACAATAACTGAAGCATATTTAATGAAGCTAATATTTTCAGAATACAAGCCTTTGAAGCGCACTGATGTTTATTTGCTGTATTTCCAGCATTTTTGATCCTACATAATTTTGTAAATACAGCAGGTACCTACGTTAAAGTTGTAGCCTTTAGTGAAGGCTATCGTGACTGATGTGGCTGTGTCACTATTTTCACACCTGTCTGTGTCCACAAAGTGATGCGTGACAGCCAGTTCACTTTATATGTGGAAGCTGGATAAAGGGATGAGGTGAACCACTGATGTTTATTATTGTTCTTTGATAAAACTGAAAGTCTGTCGAAGCTCATAAAGTAAAAACTAAAAGAAAAACCAACATGAGGTGTCTTGTTAAGGAGCTCGTTCACCACATGGAGCCATAGAAGCTTCAGCATTATAGTCTTAGTTGTTATATATTTAATAATTCAAACACTGAGCTGCTTTTAACTTTTATTCAACTCCTGCTGGTCAGGAACGTATGATGACCTTGCATCTAACAGGCTCTTTAGTTCTTTCAGGACACGAAGGACATGAAGACGTGTCTACTCTTGTTTCCTTGTGACACGATCACCTTACACAGCTTTTAATCCTCCCACTAACCATATTTCCTGATGATCCAAAAATAAACTAACAGAAATAACAACCATCCGGTCACTTTAATCCCCTGAGCTCAATCAGAAGACGGCGGGGGGTTGGCCGCAATCAGGGTTAGTTTGCCTGCAGCCTGGGTCACGGAAAACTGCAGCAGAAGTTAGACTGAAAGAGGAAGTCTCATTTCCTCTGTCTCACCTGACAGCTCGGATGACAGACTTGACCGAGGGCTGCAAGTCCTCCACTGAGATGTCGCAGTGACAGCCCTTCTCATCAAAACCGTCCTCCGCTGTAATGTTGGAGTCTGCCGTTTGGAAGAGAGGCGCAGAAAAGGAGGATTATTTATTTCTGTGATAGCAATGAAGTCACTTTATGCCAATGAGAACATTTTGCATCCACACAAACAACAGATTGCAGTGAGCCGTGTTAGTCTTACTGCTCAAACACACTAACACACGGTCACGTAGCTTTCCGTTGCCCTGGAGATCCATCCATTTGGGCAACAGAAGATGCCTGGGACAGTTCAGCCATAACTTAAATCTTTTCCTGCTCATACATGCCTGGGTACGATCTTGTCACTAAAGTGGACGCACAACGGGATATCATAGCGTGGCTCAAGCACGTGCATCATAGTTTAAACCCCTTGTTTTGCACAACGGAATACGGCCTCCCGTCTGCAGCGAAACACCCCAATAGCTTTTGTATTAGCTTTAGCCCGGTCGGACTGGGCATGAAAGGGCTGCTTAAGTACCGCAAACTCCTCTGCTCCTCCACTTGGACCGCTAGCGCTGGCCATAACTATCGCTTGACAGACCCACCATGCGCACTGTGGAGTGGGATCAGTTTGGATTACGGATCAACTGTGATCCGTTGCACCACTAGACGAAAGAAGGATATGTGAAGAAGAAAACATCAAGCAGTCAGCAGGCAAAACCAGGTTTGGGTAATAGCTTTGTCTTCCAATATGACAACAACTTCAAATTTGCATCACTCCTGCTGAAGAACATCTGACAAATACTTTTGACCCTGGTAGTTTTTGTAGTTTTGGACAATTCCAGCTGTTTTTAGACAGAAACTCTAAACAAAACCTGCTCATCACCAGGTCACTGTTTAGTTTCAGAATAAGTTACCACCTCGATGTAACAGGTAAAAAGTGACTCAAGACTCATAAGAGACTAAACTCGGACTTTAAGCTCAACACAGCTTACTAATCCATTGACCTTCACTTTGTAGTTACACGCCTCTGCTGGGCCGTGGGGATCTCTGTGAGCTGGTGGAAAATCTGGAGTCTAAATAGTTTAAAGCACAGATCAAAGCTGTCCAAAATCCAGAGATTCACCTTAGTGTCATGGGGTAATAAAGCATTAAAGGTTTAGAAAGACTTCATTTTGATTTTCCAAATGGAGCAGGAACCCTGAGCACCCTGAGGAGGTAAGCACAGGGTTAATGCCGTTGATGTGTTCTGTTGAACTAAACACTGTAGATGACCTCAGGAAAGGATCGATTACTCCACAGATTACTCCACAGTATGTGGGTTTTGTCAGACCTCTAGTGTGGTTCCCCAGCTGCACCAAGGCCGATCAGCAAGCACTCCAGCGGGTGGTGAAAGAAGCTGGCAGAATTATTGGAACAAGTCTGCCAGAGATCAGTAATATCTTCCCCACTCGCTGTCTGAGGAGGGTGCACAGTATCCTGCGGGACCAACATCACCCTGCGCGCCACCTTTTCCATCTGCTGCCCTCAGGGAGAAGGTACAGGTCTATACAGGCCAGAACATCCAGACTGGCCAACAGCCTGTATCCACAGGCTGTGAGGCTCCTGAACTCTCTGCCCCCCTCTCACGGACAATAACCATATCCAACTTCTTAATAGCAATGAACTGGTCTGCATTGGTGCATCATATCTTTATTCTCTTCCCCTCCTGCCCCCCCCCCCCCTTTCTTAAATAGATAACTATCATATCTGATATCATATCTCACAGTACAATAATATTGAATGGGTTGCATTGTTGTATTTTGTCATGTTTCTCAGGTCTTTGTCTGAATTTCTACGAACATTATTGCTAAGGATTGTCTTATTGCATTGGAGTCACACTGGGTTAAATATGTACACTTGGGTTTTAAGGGGTATTTATTATTTTCTTCTTTTTTTTTGGGTTGTATGGAAGCCCCAAACGCAATTTCATTGTTCTTGACAATGACAATAAATAAATAAATACTAAATACTAAAATACCTGCTGCTGATGAAAAACAGTGCTGATTAATGATTTGCTCCATTAAAAAAACTTTCCACTAAAATAATTCCTGGTTTCATTTCTAATTAAGACAGAATGGAAGGGAGATGTTTCCCATCCCCTAATGTCTCACTTAGCCAACATGTCAGCGATCAGACGCAGCGTGGCTAACCAGCCAACCAGTTTGGTTTTGGCTAGCTTGGCTAATGATTCCTCTCCACCAGCAGGCCTCAGCCAGCTGGACGGCTCTGACACCCCATATGGCTCCTGGAGCTCACCACCCCCACCTTCCATCTATCCATCAGTCCGCCCACAACCACCAACTGGCCGTTACCCAGGAGGACTCGCCAGGCCGGCACTGCTAGGCCAAAGAAAGGGAGCACAGCAGCCATCAGCATTCCTCCACTCCGCTGCGTCATTAGTGAGCCAAACCAGTTCTGATGAGCTGGATCGAGAGTCAGTTAAATATGAGCAGTGAGGTTGGGGCAGTTGTGCTTATTTTTATATCTCAGGAACACCTTTCTTTAAATGTGGCACTCAAGGAAGAGCAAGAGCAGCTGTTTGGAGAGGTTACTCACTTCCTGTTAATCCCGCATGACTGAAACTGGCCGATTTTGACTTTGACAGCACACAATGAGCAGCAGTGAATGTAGCCTAATGGCTAAAATAAGTTATTAGACCTGCTCTGAACAAAAAAAGACATTGAGACATTTCAAAATTTAAATGGAAAAAATTCTAACATCTTTTTTTCCCCCCTCACAGGAAAAGCAGTTTTGTCCAGTACTATTTATATAACGCAAAAACACAACAACGGGCACCTCAAGTTAAAGACTCCATGATAATAGAGAGGAGATGATGAAACCAAGAAGGCCGTCTTCAGTTTTGGTACGGTAACATGTTACTTAGCATTTATAAGCCACCACTAAAAAGCCAGCAGGGTGGAGGCCAGAAGCCAGACTCTAAAACAGGTGATTTTGCTTTGTTAATAATCCACACTGATATAAAATACCGGCAGTGAAAGCAGAATGGCACACGCACCATCAGTGGTGGAGCGGGACTGACTCTTGAGGCGGAGCGACGGTCTGAACCGCGTGCGGTCGTTGAAGCTCCAGCTCTTCTGAACCTTGGCGGGACTGGTGCCCTCTGTGCCAGCGTCAGCCACCGGAGAGCGCCTGTCGTTCACTGATGACGTCTGCCTATTCTTGATGCTCTGACCTCGGGGGCTCGCCATCCTCACCCGCTCCTTAAAACTCAACTTCTGGCTGAAATTAGTGATGAAAAGTAGTACAGAGGGAGATTGGAGCGAGAAGGGGAAAGAAGAAGGAAGTGAAGTGGGGTGGAAATGACAAAGAGGTCAACATGTTTGAGCGATAAATGATTTTCATGATAGCAAAAAGTTATCCTGGAAAAGTGTTCCTTCATAAACTGCTGAACATGGCAGCCATCCATTTAGTATAAGGGCTGCAGGACAGGATGGAGACAGACCAGCATGCATTGCAGCAGATGCTTTAGACAAAATGCAAGCTTTGGTTAGATATGAAGCTTCAGCTGTGTGATGATGCTGGTGGTTTGTTCCTGCAAGTGTGCACAGTATGCCGTCTTGTGTGACCAATTCGTTTACACATCATTAAAAGAGCCAGCGGGTGTCGCACAGTTATATTAAATGTATCGCATGTTTTTATATAAAAGTGTGAGTTTATGGATGAAAATTCATAAGAATTACCTGCAGAGTGTGAACAGGCAGGACCATGAGGTGTGGAGATAATTAGCGAGTGACAGATCCTGTGTTTATGCAGAATGACAGCATGCAAAGCCGTTCGCAGGCGTCAGCCGTGCATCATTTACACGCTGCAGAGGATTAAACAGAAGTCTGTGTTCTTCTTATTGTCACCAAATCAGTGGATTTTGGTCATGAATGTGTTGATTCGTCTCAGTAAATTCTTACTCTTAAACTCAATAGTCTGAGAAAGTCAACAGGATGGCTAATGATTTCATTAAGACGTTATCAGCCAACGAGTGCATCTGCATAATCCTCCTTTCTAATAACTTGTAAAATGAACGTCATGATCTCACTTGTTAGTCTCAACATGACTTGACACTAATGACTGAGCCCGTGAAGTCATCAGGAAAATGTTGCATGCTAGGTTCTGATTCTAAGCTAACGTTAGCTAGTGTTGCTCACTGCTGACTGTGCCGAGTGGCAGTGAGGCCCTCGAGACTTTGTACCGACTCTGACTCGTATCCCTCGTTAGAAATCAGAGCACATGATGTAAGAAGTAACTGAGAGTCTCATAGCTGTTAGGTGGCTAGCAATAAGAAGCAATGCTTCTCACCGGTGGAGGGGATGGTACCTGAGATGTCTGTGTGGGTTCTGGTGAATGAAGCGCGGTTTATCGTTTAGGTGGAATACAAGGAGGTGAGTGAAGAAGAAAATGTTGACGGTGCATCACACACACACACACACACACACACACACACACACACACACACACACACACACACGGTAATTTCAATCTCACTACATCCAGAGAAAAAGCTAATTAGTTATTTCAGAGGAGCTGCTGCTGAGAACGAAACCTGGCACAGACTAATGACCTGACAGTTAAAAACCAAAATCACAACAGGCACAAATAGCGCATTGCTCAGGCAAATATCAAACAAAAGGCAGATAGTGTGTTACTATGAAAGCGACTGATGTCTCCCTGCAGGGTTTTCTGACTCTGCTCTCTCTGAGGCTGCACAGCCTCCTACAGATACCCATGCACCAAGAATTAGTCAGCATTCCCAAAGAAAAACTTCATGTCACAGGGAGCAGAGATGCTGTGTACCTATGTTTCCGAGCAGTACACCTCCTCAGTAGCTTCTGTTTATTACTATGATTTTTACTAAAAACCAAGGGGAGATAGACACACGGTGATGTGTTACATGAAGCAGAAACAGATGAGAGAAAATCTTTCTGTCTTAAACCCTCGTGCATCTAAACACCACTTTCTTAGTGTAAGCTCTGCAGAATAACTGATTGATGAACCTTTGCAGGACTGTATGCATGAAGTCTAGGAAGTACAAAGTAATACGTTTACCGCTGGAGTTTCAATTTGTCGACCACTGACATTTAGAAGCAGCAGAACGGAGGCAAATTGAGCTTAGTAGAGAAAATGAACATCTACAGGACCGTTTGAAAAAGGCTGCAATTTGGTGAGTCACACAGTTCATGCCGATATCCCTCATTTAACTATGTGAATTCAGCTGGGCCATGGCAACAAGTGCCTGAAGCACCAGTGAGCGGACAGGGAGCTTTACACAGTTGTGTGGGTTTACTGAAGGTATAAACATGCAAATCCATTTTTGTTTCCCATGTAATGTTTTGGTTTCCTCACTGCCTTTTCTCATATATACTGATTCTGTTAATAAAGCAAGGCAGCTCTGCACTGACTGCACAGTGTGGCGTTTAATCCCTCCTCTCTAGCTCTGCAGTAGAGACATAAATAGAGTTGGGGGTTTTGCAGAACCTCCATCACCTTTTCTACATTGTGGTGTATTTCATAAACCAGGTTCAAAGGGAAAGAGTAATATAAAAAAAAAAAGAAAGCACGCCTGCCTTCAGTTCGCAGCGGTGGTTTGCAGACAAACATTTACTCAGTGTTTCATAACTGCAAACACAACATATTACATCACACAGCCTCCACTGCCCTGCACACTGCCCTCCCCAAATGAGTCTATAAATGCATTGGCTCAAAGAGAAACATCAGGAGCACTGATTTCATTACAAAATTAAGCAATATTAGGACATTATCACACAGAATAACATTTGTAATAAGTGTGTAATAGATACCTCAGGCAAGAGGATGGTTTAAAGCATGAGAAAAATGTTGTGTGTGTGTTTTTGCCTTTGTGTGTAGTGAACGTGGTGTGTAAATGATTTTATTTTTTCTCTTTTGGAGAGAAAAAGCAATAAAAAGAAAAAACAGCACCAAACAGAAAGTCAAAACAGTGAGTCATACAGAGTGCTTGTGTAAAAGTGGCTGCTTTTCCAGGCAACACATCATCACCCTTATGGCCTTCAGCTCCTGTTAGGGCACCTGTTCTGTCTGGGTGACCATGCAGGTCGCACAGAAGTGTGGCGGAAAGAGCCCTCAAAGACGGCCGGCCATTGTTTGAACATAACGATGCAGATCACGAGTGTATTAACAGAACTTCTTCAGCTTTGCTGCTGATTTCCCAGCGCTCATTCGTTTGCATTAGAGCATTGCAGGAAATGCTTTGTACCTTCGACTGAATTTAAGTGAGTGATAAAAATAAAAGCTGCACCACATTTTTGATGTCATGCAACATAAGGTACATCCGGTGTAGCTAAGTTGTCCTAAAGGCGATGACACGTCATTAGAATAGAAAGTAAATATGGGCGTGGCCATGGAGAATCACTAATGAGTGAGCTGCAAAGTGCAGATGAAGTTTGAAAAAGAAGTGCCACAATAACATCAGTTCCTCTAACAACCGGTGTTCAAGAAGTCCGGCTGTACAGCAGAAATAAACACATTTATAGCCTGATACATAAAACCATTTCGGCCTCTATAGATTGATTCCCCCTTCATAACATTGTTGAGGTGTATCTTATAGCCGTCATTCATCTTTGATCTACAGGCAGGAGTTAGAAACTCTAAAATCTAAAGCTAACTTTTCAAGGTAATCTAAAAACTCAAGTACTTACAAACATTTGACTAAAAACAAGAAGAAAAAGCCATGAAAATAAAATTCAGGCACTCAGTTATTTTCAAGTAAATTTCCCAAGTGGTCACACGTGGTACTGCGCCGCATCAGCTTTGTTGATACATTCTCTGATTTGACGCCCAGCCCTATTTCCAAGTCATGGACTTACAACACTACGTAACACAGCGAAGGTCAAACAGTCACAAACCTTGTGGTCGACTCTCCCTGCTCCTTCCTGCAGCAGACAGATCAGAAAAGGAAAGATATTTGAGAACACATCTTTTCATAAAACTTCAGTAATAGTACAGTGCTTATATCAAAATACTGGTGCTTTTGCAAGTTTTAGCCCATTTATTAGAAATCTCATATGTTGTATTAAAGAGAGTTTAACTAATATTTTCCACTTTGTCTTGCATCAATTTTTGTATGGTAAGTTATGTAATCTACCACAGTGAACAGTCTTTTTTGGTCAAAGTTACAATGTTATTGCAAGGTAATACAGTGCATCATTTTTTATTTTGCAGCTTGGTCTATTCCAAGACCAAGGAATATTGGGTATCTAACCCATTATTACAGGACGATCATTTTCTGCACAACCGCAGTGAGAGCCTGGTTCACACTACCAGAAATAATTTGGACCCGGGCACAGTGGAAGCTGCCCTCTGCCAGGTTGCCCTTGGTCATTAATACTGGTCATAACCTTCTAGAACAGGGGTGTCAAACTCAGATACACAGTGGGCCAAAATTCAAAACTGGAACAAAGTCGCGGGCTAACATTAATATTTATTGAAAAATCTTCCTCCAGATATAAGAATGAATCTTTTGCTATGGACTCAAACAAGTTTTGCTGAAAAACTGAATATGGAACAAGCAAAGCCTAATACTAAACGACATATATATTAGCTGTATAATACCAGTAGGCCAGCTCTAATAGTAATTTGGTATGGCTTCGCGGGCCAAATGTAATTAGGCTGCGGGCCAAATTTGGCCCGCGGGCCAGAGTTTGACACCTATGTTCTAGAATTTCTAGGCAAAGCCAAGGGGGCAGGGTTTAGAGTTCAGAGTTCAGGGTTTAGAGTTCAGATGAGGTTCCTTCGAAGGGTGGCAAGACTCTGGATGGAGCATGAGGAGCTCAGTAAGTCAGGAAGGACTCTGCTTAGAGCTGCTTCTCCATCACATGAACAGGAGCCAGCTAGAGTGGTTCAGGTATCTAACCAGGACATATCCTGGCACCTCCTAGGTGAGGATGAGGTTAGTCCAACTAGCAGGAGATCCAGACCCAATAAGTGTCAAAGTTTTTGTGAAGTGAATGCATTATTCCACATAATAACATGAACTCGTTTGGCTTAATGAAAACCAAAAAAACAGTTTATAAAGCACACCCTGACGTGTACTGGACAGTGAACCTGCTGGATGCGCTTCATGTTGGGTAATGCAGGTTGTGCCTTAGCACCGAGGCTGTTCCAGGCAGCTGATTTCTATGTTTACTTTTGCTTTGCTTTGCAAACCTTTTCAGCGTGTAAAGTTAGCGCGGCCTCAGCAGTAGTGTTAACGGCAAATGCGAATTCTTCTTTAACGGCAACATCATAAATGCAAAGTTTATGTCCACAGTGATGAATGACACACTCAGCATGTTTAAAAACTCCTTTACTCTCCAGTTGAAGTCGTGATGATGTGAGCTTTAGGAATTCATTAAAATACAAGTTATACATGATTTATAACCGAGGAGCTAAAACCTGCAAACGCACCAATGTGTTCAGCATGATAGGGAGATTTCTGCATCACAAGCTTTGCCAGCAGCTGTTTCTTTCACAAGTGCAGAGGATTTGAAGGCCGCAACACATCGATCAATAAGAGGCCTGATGGTGGAAGCCTTAACAAACAGCAGACTCACTACAAACATGCAGGTTCATGCACACTAAAGCAGCAGCGAGAGAAGAAAGTGACTTAAGGACTGCATGTTTAAATAAAGTAATCATAAAGCTATAACTGTACATTATATGTAACCATCTGCAATGCATTTATTGTATACATTGCAGATAGCTGTCCCAATATTTCCAGGCTCCACAGATGGCTTTCAAAAGCACATAGGAGGGGTGGAAAACAAACCCCAATCACTGGGTGTTTGCAGGGTGTTTAGGATGGATACCAAAAAATGCACAAATCATAAAATTTTAAAAATGTTCTTTAACCAAAGAAGAAAAGCTCCCCATTTCTATAATTCAAGGTGCATAACTAGCTCGAGTATTAACGTTTAGCAGCTTGGTTAGATGCCTGGATTATATCACAGAACTGTGGATAATTTTAAACAGAGTATTTAAATGTAAGTGCATAAAACTCATAAATGCCAATACTAAAACATGAAGTGAGGCGAGCTTTTAAGGGCAGCTTTTCTGCTTTTATCATGTGCTGTTTGGGACGATACCAGTCATTTCCCACAGCACGTGCCATCACACTGTGATGACCTGTCATTTTGACTTTCATTTAAATAAAAACATTATTGTGCCAATTGAACCCATGTGGGTTCTAGAGATTTATGATCTTTTCTAAAATGTGTAGTAACAGTACGTGGGATTATAGCAGTCATGCAGCGTATGTTGAGGTCTTTTATTCTGAAAGGAACAGGAAGAAGCTCTTTTTAGATATACGTTACATAGAGCAAAGCAGGTTTTGGTACAGACTGGGCAGCTTCATGAATAAAGTGCTCGTCTTAGGTCAATTTAAAAAATAGAATTTGCTGGCTGGAGTAGACACGGTATGATTTATGAAATAATAAATCAGAGGCAGGGATGTTTCTGAAACTTTCTTAGTCATAAAAATTATTCAGGAACTGCATAGTTAAATCTTTTACCTCACAGGGTATGAAACACAAAACTTCAGGAGCTTCTTTTCCAGCACATGTTCAAATTCTGATCTAGTCCCAACAAACTAAACATGAAGTCCATGATGTTTGTGTGGGACAACATGGGTGATGAGATTAATGCTAAAATGCAGATTGAATTTTTTTTGACGTTGAGACAATTTAAGAAAAGGAACACAGCTTGCAGTTTTTTTTTACTTAATTCCATTTTCCCAACTTTTATAAGCAGAAGTAGAAGCTAAAGTTTGTTTTTATGCTGTTATGCGACATGTCAGCTGCTGCCGTGCCTGGAAATTATCTTTGAGTTCCAGCATCCTTGAGTCAGCACATCTGTTGGTGAGGTGTGTTTACGTTTGTGAACTGGAGCCAATAAAAATTTGGCCTCAATATGTGGGGACACGAATAAAAATAATGTGTGGTCCCATTTAAAGTGTGACACCTTAAGACAGAAACCAGGTGAGGCGCAAACATGGAACCTGTGAATTGGCCTTCAAGCGGTTTCTGAATGCTGAGAAGCACCTGCAGCCATGCAACACTCCTACGACTCAGACAAAAACATGTCAACTTTGGTGACGCGGTCCAAACGGTTATAAAGAACATGTGAACACCAAGGATGATTCGGATTGGGCTTTTTAGAAACTTGTTCTGACACCGCTCATACAAAGTCAGGTAGGTGAAAGGAGAACTTTCATGTCATGACTTGTTTTGAGCAGACGCGCATCTCACATGGTGATATGAGCATTTAAAGTTTACCCAGAATGCACTTTTTGAAGTGAATTCTCTGGGGCGTCTGTTCCTCTACACTGCAGACATTAAAGTTGTGTTACTGAATACGATCTGAAACGCTAGGATGTATCACGAGATACTGAAGCTCAGAGATGTTTATAGAGCAGCGGTGTCAAACTCCAGGCCTCAAGGGTCGGTGTCCCTGGGTCAGCAGACCTGAATCAAATGATTACTTCATTACCAGGCCTCTGGAGAACTTTTTAGGAGGTAATTTATCCATTTAAATCAGCTGTGTTGGATCAAGGACACATCTAAAAACTGCAGGACACCGGCCCTCGAGGCCTGGAGTTCCCCACCCCTGTTGTTGTAGAGAAAAACAAATCTTACTTAAATAAAACCTTGATTGTGACACTCGTGGTGATTTGGTAGCAGTTTTTAAAAGAGATTAAATGTGATTTTCAGTCCTGAAGGTTTCATGTGGATATAATAAATACTGACACTTAAAAAGCCTTTAATTTAAAATCATCCCTTTTGTACTTTGAGGGCTGTAAAATTTTAAAAGATTCGCACTATGAAGGTAAAATTACGTATGGTTTTATTATAAATACCAACTTTCCTGTCATTGACAGTAATATGAAGAACCACTTGATGGAAGTTGACGGTTTGACGGCACTGGGGGGAAATTTCTCAACTCTTTCCGCATCCCTCATCATTTTCTGTAAAAAAGCTGCACTACAGCTAAACCTTGACACACTGACAGACTGAAATAGGTGCGTCCCTCTAAATCACTCTGGGCCCTGGGCTTTTGAGAAGATGAGGGCTTTGAGTTCAAAAAGCCCGATTGGGTCATTGAAGCCACAATTGGAGTCATAAATAGACGTGCTATGAAAGGGTGACGGCTAAAATTGCTGCCTTGGTCCCTCAAAGCAGCGAACGTTCCTGGCCCGTTGAGCACTCAGCGCACAGACGGAGACATTTATAGAGAAGCAGATGAAGGAGTCAGCTTTTTTTTTTTACATTAATGGAGCCTGGAAATTGTCTGTCATTTATAAATTAAAATTCTAAAATCACTTCTTCTATAAATTTTCAATAAAGAGAAAAAAAGCAGATACTCAAAACGACAGGACAGAGCAGGAAAAGTGAATAATCCAAAGAGGATCTAAATGAACTTTAAATTTGCAAAGTTGAAGTGCAGGAAAGGAATGTGGCACAGACACCAAATACAGACACCAGCTGCCATAGTTGTACCTACTTTGTAGGGCTGCAGGTATGCAACGCCTTCAAGTGAGGCTTCCAGGTAGCAATGGAAACCGAGTTCTCATCAGCCGCATAACTACGCCAAACACACTGCATGCAGAATACACAAAAAAAATAGTTGGAAGGGAAAAATTAAAAGACCCCCCTCCCAGAAAAAAAACGATAAACAGACAGAAAAAAGGTAAAAAAAACAAAAAAAACAAAAGAAAAACAAGGCCCCAGAGGGAGTCAGGAGAAGAGGAGAAAAGAAAAGAAAGTAAAAAAAGAGCTGATTAGTGAAAACTAAAACACAGATGTGTCACACGTCTGGGGTCGGCCGGCGGTCAGGCATGGATACATGCCTGTGGATAGGCAGGAGGCTCTCATAGTGCCGCCACGTGGCGTCCAGGTAGGGCCTGGTGCTGTCGGTGGAGTGATAACGCCACGCAGCCTGGTACAACATGGGGATGCACAGGATGAAGAGGAGGAGGAGGAGATGGGAGCATATGATGGACAAAAGGAAAAGGAAGCATGTGGGGAAATATACGAGGAGGTCAATGTGAGGTCAGCACCAGTGAAAGTCAGGATGAAACTAAAGGTGAGTGAAGATCAGGTAGCAGGACGGAGGGGATCGTTGGTGTTTCTGTGCTTTATACCATAGACTGTATAAAAAAGACAGACATACAGTGGGAGGAGTTTTCTCTGTAACTCAGCTCTTGATTTAACATCGCCGTGGTTCCTCAGACCCCAAAAAATAAACAAAAACAAAACAACCATCCCCCCAAATAACCCTGCCAGGCTTTCGGATTGTTTCAGACAATAAGCTCAGTAGGAAGGAAATGTTTTTGACACATTTAAACAATTGCTTTAATCCAAACTGGATTTCATCTGAAAGCTGATGACGAGTCCCAGGTATTTAACCCAGGATTGTCACGTTGGAGTTCGTTCCGGACATGTTGGCCTTGTTTGCGAGTTGTTGTCCCACCCTATCATCATGTCGTTTGTTAAGGTCATATAGGACGAGGACTGAATGTTGTTAGATCGTCTGGAAAGGGACCTCAGGACCGAATCATAGGTGGCAGATAGTTGGAGTTGTCGGACACCACTTCAGTTCAGTGGACAGAGATGCTTTCAGCCACCTACAACACTGACTCCTCATCAGCTTTAAAAACTGAAGAAGCCTTTGGAACGTCAAGAGATCATCTAGATTAGATGAGCTGAACAGACATTTCAAAGCATAAATAAAGTCACACAGTTTTTTTCTCCTTGTCATGAATCTTCCTTGGGCAGTGGTGGTTAGCACAGCTGCCTCACAGCAAAAAGGTCCTGAGTTCAATTCCACCATCATGCTGGGGTCTGTCACACCTATTGGTGTGAATGTGAGTGCGGATGGTTGTCTATGTGTTAGCCGTGGAACATCCCTCGGTTCCACCTGTGCTCGTAACGCCTGCTTTCAAAACGGCAAGAAAGGAAGAAAAACAGGAATCTACAACCCAAATGGTGATCTCATGGTAGCCATGACCATCTTTTATATACAGTCTATGGCTATACTAGTAGGAGGTGAAAGAGATGATTGAGCTTTGAGAAGATGAGGAGAGAACTGGGCTGCACAGGGTGACGATATCTGCTTTTCACTGGGTTTCGTCAAGTCCACGAAGGAAAAGGACAAAGTGGAGAATGACAGTCGCTTATAGATTTTAACAACACTACAGTGGATTGAATCGTCAACGTTAACGTCTTCATTGTCCAGCCCAAAGCAGAGATATGTGTCAGAGACAAAAGAATAACAGGGTGTCTGTTTTACCTGGATGAGGTAGGCCGCTGGGTTTCTTCTCTTCTCAAAGTGCTTCTGTCTGTGCTGCTCCTGGACCTTCAGGGCAAAGCCTGAACCCAGAATACCCTGAAATGATATAAACAGAAATAAATACACACACCACAAATACACCATGATGTGGTTTCGTGCACTGGTAGCAGTGACTTAAAGAGAGTATCCTAGTGCTCCTGTGCAGGCTTCCAGAAGTTAGCCAATAAGAAGAGAGCAGGAAAGCGCTAAAACAGCTTGTTTCAGAGAACTTTTATGTCCTCAAGTAGGTACATAATTCAATTTAATGACTGAATTACTGTGACTGGAAATTAACTGAATGTTCTATTACAACAATACAACAATAATTATTATTATAAACTGCAATAATAAGGTTGTAAATTTACATTAAAAAAGAAGCAAATTTCATAAAAAAGGAAACTTTATGAGAGAAAAAAAATGAAAACCTGTTACAGAAAACTGATTCATAAAAAAAGAATAACTTACAGCTGGCAAGGCAAAGAAGGAGATGCCGAGGAGGGCGAACCCCGCGGACAGCATCCGCCCCGTCCACGTCTTTGGCGTCTTGTCTCCGTAGCCGATGGTTGTCAGGGTGATCTGTGAAAACAATGATTATTATCAGGGCCTGATGGATGCTCATATGCAGCCCCTGGCTGTTTAAACAGGGAACTTTTAAACAAATGTTATATTTAAAATTAAAACTTATGCTGTATCAGAACTTGCAAGTGACCTGGTAACGCTGAGGTTGTCTATGACTTATCTAAACATCTACAAGCTATTAGTAGTTTTTTTATTTAACAGTAAGACGTCATTAGTTGGAAATTATAAAGTCATGTGGAATACCTATACCTACCTATATGAGACCTGTTTTTAAAGGCATCTTTTAAAGGTTGTAGGACAGAAACTGGTTTCATCTTTTTGTTTGTGCCTCAGGCAGCTTTTGCAGTTTTGGTGAAATGGTCCTTTAAGTGATATTAAAAGGGGTTATTTGGTTAGTAGACTTGAATGAAAATGCATCCTCTGCTTTACTTACACCAATCTATTAAGACTGCTTTTATTTCTGTCAGACTGCTCAGTGTTAAATGTCTTCTAGTACGCATCGCTCCATTGTATTTGCATCTTTTTCCCTTTTGCATACAGCCTGATTTTCTCCATACAGAGACATGATTTTAAATGATGCCTTCAAGCACTGCAATCACATCTGAATGATTAAACCTGCGCAGAGGCTTTAACGGGCGTCAGTCTGTGCGGCCTTGGTTCCAAGAACGCTGCTGAAAGCCGGCGGCTCAAATGTTTATTCTGCCTTATCTGAAAAAATAAAGTTTTCTAAGGCACCGAATGTGCACTCCTCTTGTCCTTTATGTGCAAAGACCTACCGAGCATCTGATGATGTTGTGCAGATATACACGGAGAGGGCGTTTTGACAATATGAAACCTCAGATTCAATGAAAATGGGACTCAAACATCTCGATGTCAGCAAGTGAAGTTTTAATAGAATTAAAAGAGTTAATTGCAGTAATGATTTAAGTTGATGGTACTTAGTGCATCAAAATATGACTGCTGGATAAAAGCATTCTCATGTATTCAACAAAAGCCTGAAAAGGAGCATTTAATGAAGTGTATTCACCATTTAATGACAGGGGCAGATGTATCTGGCCGTGGACTGAAACTGGCAGAAAAACCTTACTTGGCTTTATTACTGTGCCGGTTTTATCTGCCCATCTGTACAGATATCCATCCATCTACCTCTTTGATTTGGAAGCCTGAACATTTTTCATTCAGGCTCTGATTACCATTCATGACAAAGGCTATTTGACACCATTATGAATTTCTGAGCCGGATTAATAATGGTGTTTAACGGAGCCGTGCAGGACTAATGTTTATGGACGGCTGTTGGTGCTCAGAGGCAGAGCTGAACAGGAGATAATAACAGCAAGGATTCTGCTTTTCTGCATCCAGAGCACGACACACTCATCTGAAAATACTCAGAGTAAAACCTGTACTCTGCTGATGTCCAAGAAAGTCTAACTCAGGAGGGTCAGGTGGCTGCAGAGATTGGCTGACAGCTGCTAAAAAAATCATTTCTATCAGGGCTTTTTACTAAAGTACAGAAATTCCTCCAAACTCACCGTGCCCCACCACAAGGCATCCGCATACGTAGCAAACTCATTGTTGAACTTATTCTCCACAAGGTAGACAAGGAACGAAGAGAAGATGAGGACCAAGAAGCCGATGTACCAGGCGGTTACCAGTTCCTGCAGAAGTCAAAGAGGTCATTCAGAGTTTAATGGTGGAAAAAGGAGCATTTATTTAATGCACATCGACCTAAAACCACTTTTCTCTGAACACTGAGGTCAGAAACAGAAATAAAATAATGACGTGATAGGTCACGACCCTTTACAGAACCTTCGTCTGATGCAGTCACTTATTGGTTTAGACATAAATATGATAAAACACTGCGACCAACTTCCTGATGTGCTGCTAAAACAGCTGCTGAACTGCCTGCTCTGAACTCTACAAGACCTCTGAATGTGCCCAGTGTTACCTGCAAATCAGGGACTGCAGCTAATCTGACTCATTGCTCTGCTCGAACAACGCTGTAGGAACACAGCTGTGCTGGTGTACACTTTATCAGGAACATTTAGGTAGGTGATGAATGCTCATGAAACCCTCTGTGACCTCAAAACAGCAAGGAAGAGCAATCAAACTATCATGCAAGATTAGTCTACTAGCTTAAAAATAAATAAATACTGCATTTAATCGCCTATTTAATCGCAATTTATGACAGTATGTTTGCACTGAAGCACCGCAGCAATTTCCTAATGTTGTAAACCTGCTCAACATTTGGCAATAAACCCCTTTCTGATTCTGATTCTGATAACATTTCATCTTTAACACCTTTAATTGTTTTAATCGTATAAACATAGCGTTACAGAAACATCTTGAGATTCCCTGAAGCTTGATCAGAAGCTTGATCTGCAGATGCCCTCCTCGCCTACCTTGCTGTGTGCGTAGACTACAGAGCCCAACAGCTTCCAGGTGCCTCCCCTTCGGTCCATTCGCACCATTCGTAGGATCTGCAGGAAACGCAGGCTTCGCAGGACTGACGTGGCAAAGATGTTGCCCTGGCTACCTGCTGACACCACCGCCACTGACGCTATCAGCACTATGATGTCTGGAATGAAAACACAAAACGACGGCTTACCAGCAGAAGAGGATACAATTCTTTATGAAGCTGCCTTTAAAATGATCTGCACTGATAAATATGTGTTTTCAAACAGAAATAATCTATACAAAGCTACACTATACAGACAAATCTGCTGGGTCACCAACACACTACACCTACAGGAGCTGCCTTGCTACAGGAACCAGGCCGTGAAGCTCCTGGCATGCCAGAGGAAGACGACCACAAAAAGATCAGAAAAACTTGAAATACAGTTTTTATTATGGTGGATTATGAAAACTGATTTTGATGCTAATGCTAGCTGAAGTTTGGACCTCTGCAGTTACTGAGTCAACAGAGCATTATTCATGTTTATGCACTTTACCTTCTCTGTGCTTGATTTTATACACCTGTGACTGAAACACTTGAATTCAAAGGCTCAGAGGTGTGCACCAACACTTGTGCACAGAGTCTATATTTAAAGAAAAAATTTTAACCGAGGGAAAGTTGGCAGAACCGGACTTCCACAGAGTGATAATAAAACATCAGCAGTGCTGAAAGTGGACACACAGAGACCACCTGGAAGTGTAGTTTTTGGTATTTATGGGTGGTGCCAGAGAACTTTATGATCCCAGAAAGGCTTCCCGACTGTGCATTATAACCCTGGAGGCCAGCTTGGCATAAGTTGACCTGCTGTCAGATCTATTTACTGGAGATATATATTACTGTAATACTAAAATTGATTAAATATTCAATATTACTAATATCTGAATGGACTCGAATATACACGCCACATGCCTCTAACGGCCTGTGGAGTGAATCTTACTTGCTTCGGGGTGCCTTGCTTCACTGCCTTCCTTCCATAAACGGTCAGCTACGTAAACATGAAACAAGAGCTCAGAAATTGAGTTTTTTAATCACTAATTTCAACACTCAGCTCGCTGTCGGGCTAGCGATTTTGCGAGCCCTGTATCTGATTGAGGAATCACTCATCTTTGGAAAAGAGAGTTTATTACAGAGAAATGGCTCTTTCCAAAATAAAAGCTATACTATACGCTTCTTATGGGCTATATTCTCAGCAGCATATTGTAGCGGATCAGGGCTGTTCGGGGTTCTGTTTGTACAGTTATGTTTTGTTTATGTTGCCATAGTGACGGGTGACGCCCTCTCGCTGCGACGGTGTGTCCTTCCGGGGTCAGAGGGCGCCCTGTGTGTTGTTGTTGTTGCTATGCCGTTGCCGCGCTGAGCAGTTAGCTAGCGGCAGTGTTCTTCTGCAGATGTCAATAAACGGCTGTGCTCCCTGGCTAGCTCACGGGAAGCAAGACCAAACGATACCTCCGTCTCCTCGTTGTCTGAGCTCGCCACATTGGTGTCAGAAGTGGGATGATGGTGGCACCCCATGTTCTGACCCGAGTGACTTTCCCCCCGCCGGTCGTGACCGGCCGGTGCGCCAAAAGAAGGCACCTGGACATTTGCAAAGTGAAAGCAAAACACAAGCGCAAATTCAAACGCGATTTCAATATGTCACATATTGACAGTGGCTCACCGATGCCAATGACATAATTACCCAGCTACATTTCCGAAAGAATGCAAAAGCATTGACATATATTTTTCCTTTCTACAATAGCCCTTCCTACAATAGCCCGCTAGCCCCGGGACGTCGGGCTAGCGATTTTGCAAGCCCTGTGTTACAGGCATGGCCCTTTAAGGATGAAGCCTGATGGGAAATGTATTCGGGATGTGTGTAGCGGGACTGCCTGGTGTGTGTGTGAAGAGAGAGAGCGGAGAAGGGGAAAAAGTAACGGTTAGCTACAGAAGAGACGAAAAGAAAAGAAATAAAAGGAATATAATAACTCCGTCGACAGCCAGAGTTGTGTCGGCGATGCTCGCTGTGAGTAAACTGTTTCAGCCCACTGTACGCGGTGTTCGTGCCTTAGAGAAGAAATAAAGTTCGGTGAAGCAGTTTCCTACGCCTCCTTCGATCTTTTTGCTAGCGGAGTTGACCTGTATAGTAAGCTGTTGCTGGCTACGAGTCAGTTACGGAACCTTCAAGTAACTGCCAGAGGTTTCCTTACTACAGTTCGGGGCCGCGGATCTGGCGCGGTAACACCTGTATCTGATTGGGGAATCACTCATCTTTGGAAAAGAGAGTTTATTACAGAGAAATGGCTCTTTCCAAAATAAAAGCTATACTATACGCTTCTTATGGGCTATATTCTCAGCAGCATATTGTAGCGGGTCAGGGCTCTTCAGGGTTCTGTTTGTACAGTTATGTTTTGTTTATGTTGCCATAGTGACGGGTGACGCCCTCTCGCTGCGACGGTGTGTCCTTCCGGGGTCAGAGGGCGCCCTGTGTGTTGTTGTTGCTGTGCGGTTGCCGCGCTGAGCAGTTAGCTAGCGGCAGTGTTCTTCTGCAGATGTCAATAAACGGCTGTGCTCCCTGGCTAGCTCACGGGAAGCAAGACCAAACGATACCTCCGTCTCTTCGTTGTCTGAGCTCGCCACATTGGTGTCAGAAGTGGGATGATGGTGGCACCCCATGTTCTGACCCGAGTGACTTTCCCCCGCCGGTCGTGACCGGCCGATGCGCCAAAAGAAGGCACCTGGACATTTGCAGGACTTTGTGTGGGGTAATGGGGTCGTCGGGGACGACTGACCCCTTAGGTGGGGGCTATGTAGCTGGTCAGGGCTATTCGGGGTTCTGTTTGTACAGTTATGTTTTATTTATGTTGCCATAGTGACGGGTGACGCCCTCTCGCTGCGACGGTGTGTCCTTCCGGGGTCAGAGGGCGCCCTGTGTGTTGTTGTTGTTGTTGCTATGCCGTTGCCGCGCTGAGCAGTTAGCTAGTGGCAGTGTTCTTCTGCAGCATGCGTGCTTGTTGTTTTTGTCTGCTTCCACTTGTCTTTGCACTAGGATGATGTCTGCGTAAATGTGCAGTCATATTCGTTGTGTTCCCACTAGTGCTGTCAGCGTTAATCTCGTTGAAATGACGTTAACGCCACAACACGGCAAATCTCCGTTAACGAGCTACCCCTGCGTGGGGCTAGACGGCCAACACGTTAACGAGCTAACTGCGCTAACACACTAGTTCCCACCCATGTAATTGAGCATTGCGTGGCACATCCAACATACTGTTTTACTTTAGTCCATGACGCGCTTACCTTCAGGGTCATACCTCACATGAAAACCAAAATAATTCCAAACGCCAGATCTGAATGAGGTTGGGGGAGGTTCAATTTGCCATGTTGCAAGGAGAGCTTAACTTCTGTCTCGCTAGCTTGCCCTGCGCTCTTCCTTCTGACGATGCTGTCTGTGTTGAGCGCTCAGTGGATCTGCGCTCGACAGTGCAGCCTAGGCGGAGTAGTCAAACGCAGATTCACTGAGCGCTCAACACAGACAGCATCGTCAGAAGGAAAGTTGATAAAATAAATTACAAATTTTGTATTGTTCGATACATATGCGTACCGAACCGAAAGCACTGTATCGAACGGTTCAATATCGATAAGAGTATCGTTGCACCCCTAGCGATTATGTGTAGTGATTTATGTGTACGTTCTGTGTGCACTCAAAAAATAAGAAAACTGGCTCTCAGAAAAAACACGACTATTTCCCTCATCTCATTGACAGCTCCAAAAAAAAGAAAAGACTGCTCACTCCTGCTAGCAGAAAAGAAAACAGAAGCAAGTATATCTTGTTGTTATTGATCTTAACGTGAAACCATCCTATCAAAATTCATTCTCATCTGAACGCCAGTTAGACGGTTCGACGTCTATCATGCAGCAGCAATAACAGTAAGTCAGCGTTGTCATCTCTCGCTGCTCACTGCAGTAAATCAGCCCAACAAAGGCTCCATATTACTGGAGATGACATAATCTGCCACAGGCATCAACAGCACAATAGCAGCCTATGGCCTCTTCCTATACAGAGTATATGCTGATTTAAGTTGCCTGGCTACTGCATCGATCTGCTGTTTACACAAACACAGCAGAGGGAGAGGTAATTGGCTAAAACAGTGCTCTGCTGTATATCTGAAAGCAGAGCTCACACTTCTGCTTTGTTTCCTTTTAATTTCCCATAAGAGCATAAAAACTGTGACAGACGTAAACACGGGCACAGAGAGGCAGACGCACACAGATCTGACTCTGTGCAGAGGAAGTTCACACAAAGCACAGCGAGCACATGAATAACACCAAACCCACAAAGAGCACAGACAAATAAGACCTCGTCCAACTCAAAAAAAACTCCCAAATCTCCCCATCTCGGCGATGCTCCGCGTTAAACTCTACACCCGGGCCGTGCTATTTTACTTCACTGTGTACGAGAGGATTTCCCTTCTGTCCTTCAGTTGAACCCATTTTTTTAAAAGAGAGAATGTTTGTTGAGGTGAAGCTGATGGTCGTATAAATAAACAGATCAGTTGACCCACAGTGGGGAGAGGAAGAGAAAGGGGAAAGGTCATGAGCAGCAGCGGCATTACAAATACATTAAAGGGGCACCAGCAGAGCTCGCCGACTTTGAAGGTGCTCAGAGGAAAGTAAAAAAAACAAAAAAAACCCACAAAGAATCCAAAGATTTAAATCAGTCCAGCTGACTCTACACAGGCATTCAGCCCTACAGACAGCACATCTCACGATAGCTCCCAAACAGTGAAGTCAAAAATGTAGGAACATTTTCACTCATCACACATCCATTCATCAATCCGCTTGTCCAGATCTGGGTTTCTGAGGAGCTGCCCAAACCGCCCACCCAAAACACACTTGTACATGGACTAAATGGCCTGTAACATCAGGCCAGATACACTGTACTACTGAAGCACTTCCCTACAGGTTAAACCAAAGGATGCAGGTGAATGAAGTCCACGAAACACATGTAGACTGGTTGGACAAACTCCTATCCTCACTTATCCTTAAATATCATTCCAGGTCCAGTGTTCCACAACCAGGATAGAAATTGCGTATTTCAGTCTGAGTTTTTCACAAACCAACTTCTTCCCAGTTTAGAACTTAAAGACGGCAAAGAGCTCAGCTTCTCAATGAAACTACACAGACCGGTGGGCGGCCTCCCATTTTTAAACACCTCCACTGCAAAGCTGCACTTTCTGCAGATTTTTAAAGGGCAAGCAAGACCAGCAACAGCAAGTGCACATATGCAGAACATATTCAGTTTCCAGAACAGATCCGAATGCAAACCTGCAGAGTTGATGGTTGATATGATCAAATTGTGATGAATGATCACAATTTGAAGGTCTTCATTTGAAACACAGTGTTCTGAGCTTCAGGCAAAACTTCACACGAAAGAATGTGAGCGTGAAACCAGACAAACACAAGAAAGCTGCATATTATGACAGTCCATCCTCAGGCGCATCATTCAGATGCATCTCCATAAGGGCCGAGCCATGTGCATCACAGCCACCATGGAGTCATTTACTCAGGCTGTCAGCGGACATGCTTCCTTTAACCCCCGGGGAGTCTTTGGTCTTTTAAATGACTCACAGGGACAAATCACCTGTTCACACCAGTTAAAGCGATGCTAGTTTTCATTCCCGCTTCATTTGCGAGTTAATGTTGGTCGCTCTGAAGTCACAGACTAACACATCTTTAGATCACGCTGGTTAAAACGTCATATCAACATGAAGATTCTGCACGCGGTGCTTATTCTGAGCACAGAAACTTCCTTTGGCGTTCGGCTGTTTTGGCATCAACATGCTGCCGTACGGCTCCAGTGAAGCTGCTTGATCGCGAGTAATTAGGGAGCCCTGCTGCCACAAATAAACTGGTTAACAGAATTTCCACTGGGCACGATGCAGCAGCCAAAGTGAAAAGAAAAAAAGAACTGCTTAAAGGACTCCACAGAAGAAGAAGAAATGATTTAACTTCTGGGCCAAAAGTAACAGCAAAAGGAAGAACATTTTAAATGAGTTCAGCTGGAGGCTGTATTATTTTTAGATATTCAGACCAGGATATCTTATTATTCTAGCATTATTAAAGCATTTTAATGTAAGACAGATCAGTCAGATCCCGTGCATCCATTAAAGTAAATGTTGCTCGAGTTTAAAAAGTACTATCAGCAAAAGTATAAAAACTAAAAGCACTCATGTTTACAAGATTAATATTTTTATTACACTTACAGAGCAGCTTAAAATGGAAATACTCAAGTATAAATACCTAAACTGACTCCTGAATGATTTTCAGGAGTCAGACAGGTTTACTTTCCCCAGGTTGTGCAAATGTTAGCATGACAGTACCATCACCCTAGTGTTCTTCTCTAAATGTGTGTTGAACTCTGTAAATGTTTTAACTATCTGCGCAAATATCAGTGGTTAATACAGCATACAGATTTTTCCTGTCTGTATAAAAGCTAATCTGTCCTGTAGCTTTTACAGAGTTTTCTAAATCCAGGATTAAAGAAAAGGGAAAATACATTTGTGTTCTTCAAGGTTGGATACAAATAAATCATTCGTAAGATTCACCGCTGTCTGGATGAGCTCACTTTCTATACCTTTAGGCACTTTCAAACTATCACACAAATATGCACAGAGTTTGTTTAGAATCACTGAAGTAAAAACAAGCCCTCCTGTTTCCATCTACAACCACTTATGTTTGACATGGCTCTAGAAGAACATCAGCACATAACCGAGCTGACATCACTGATAGGACACCGAGTCAGAAACGGAGATAATTGGATGGAGGCTGGTTGCAAAGTGGCTTGCAGGTGTGCAGCACCTGTGTGAAGGCTAAAGTAGCATATACAGTGCAACCTACCTGAGATTTGGTAGCTGTAGGCTGACTTCATGGCCTACCTGAACCAACACTATGATCAATTAAAGGTCACTGACCCTACATATCATACTCAAGGAGATGTTGCATAAAACGGCACTCAAAGCTACTCACATTTTTCTCTTTCCACTAAAGACATGATCCACTTTAAGTCTTGCCATTCTCAAGGCTTTCAGCATCTCTGAAGTCAAATTAATTCATGATAATCCTAACAATAATCCTGGCGATACAGCAATGCCCAGACTGAGGAAAGACTGAGCTACACAACCAGTTTCACTTCATTTAACCTGCCAGGGGCTAAACTTGGCATAAACCAGGAGTTTGCTCATTTAGAAATCTTCATATAGAGAAATAACTGCAGTCATGGCAGAAAAAAATCAACAACAACAACAAAAAAGTTTTGCCAGTAGCACAAATTCTGTGTTTCATAAATCCTTGAACAGCATTAATCTATGAATCTGGTTTTCCTGCAGTTCTCTGTAGCAGGCTGGATATCTGCTTCATTCCTGCCTTATCAGAGCTCCACACTAAAACCATCCTCAAAGACCAGCTGCTTCAAAGATCCAGGAGTAATCTGGTAACAATCTGTGCATTTTCCAGCTTGTCCTGTGACATTTTATACCATGCTACAAGTAAAAAGTGATAATTAGTCACTGACATTAGGTGAGAAATTCACATTATTTTATACATTTATCCCACAAGTATTTTACTGCCATGACAGTTACGTCAGCTTCTGCTACCCAGCGTTCAGTCTCCAAACCGGCCACAGTGGGAGCTGGTTCAATGGAGGACTAAACCAGAGCTGGTTCTGCACTGGTTTAGTGGGAAGAGCTACCAATATTTCCGATTCAGTCACACTAACACAAAGAAATCACCCACTATCACTCTGAAATCTTAAAATCCAAACGTTTTTCTGCAAATGATGGAGAATAATTGCCGTCATGCTCTGGAGTTAAAGTCGATGTCTGTGCACAGAAACTAAAATTAGTATAATAAAAGTTGTAATACGACCAAAACTACACACAGACGCAGACAGAGTCATTTTATACTGCAGCACAGTCACAGGGTTTCTCTCTGTAGGGATGTGCGTTATGATTCAGCTCCATTTATCCTTCAAATCCTTTCTTTTACTTTCTCACTTTATTATTTTTCCACGCTCGCCATCACACGCCGTCGTCTTCTCCATTTCTCCTTATCTCTTACTTATATTTCACTCTTCTTTTGCTCGCTCCCCCGTCAGTGCTGAACAGTGACGACCGGAGCTTGCGACGCACTCGCTGACCTCGGAGCCCTGCTCTCCCTCCCTGCGAGCGCCCTACTGTACTTTGAAAGAAGCAGCAGAGCGATCCTTGTCTAAACAGTGGAAAGAATAAAAGGCAGTTAATGCAACCTCATTACGTAAATGCTCTCTGCGCTTATGAGGCCTGACCACAGCTGAAAATGACACCAGCAGACTTTGGTCAATAGCGTGCCATGGGCTGCATTCACAGAGAGGACGCAGAGCGGTCCGCTAGAGGGCAACTGTAGGGTGAAACAATGAGAAGGGAATGGCTTTGTAGCTGGAAAACAAAACCTTTAAGCAGCGAATTAATCACCCAAAAAAAAAGAAAAAAGAAAGGCGTGGCCCAAAGACTCACCGATGACACAAAAGGGCTTCCTGGCAAAGCGCAGCCGACCCTGCCATCCTCTGTAGCGACAGCAGCATCCCGCTGACCAGATACGGATGATGAATTCCAACCCGAACACCACAATCATCACAAACTCCTGTTGGAAGCATAGAAACAACAGTTGTTTTGGAAGCGTGTTGATGACGGCAACAGAGAGCATTAATCTGGTTTTCCAGGGATTAAATCAAACACAGTTAAGCCAGTGGATATATTAGACAGGAAGTAAACAGTTATGCACCAAATACACTGGCAAAGAGAGAAGCAGATGTAAGGACCAGAACAAATGTGCCTGACAGTCCGGGTCATGGTTGGACTGAGGAGAGACAAACTTACAGGTTGTTGGTGGAGCGCGGCTGATGTGTATAAAAGAAAGACACAGCATAGTTTTGGCTCAGTATTTTAACATCAGGCTCTGGGAACTGAGCAACTGGTCTCCACAGAGACTCAAAAGTCAAGCCAGTGTAAAAATGCCACAAAGTGCAGTTCCTGTAATGTCCACTTGAGGCTGTCTCCTGACGTGAGTCGATCAACGTAGACTTCGATGTTAAAAAGTCCAATTTTACAGCAGAAGTAAACAGGTTTACAGCCTGGTATACAAACAGAGCTTTGATCTCTACAGCTGATTTCTCCCTTCATAACAACTGAATTATTTTTTTTAACAGTGTTTCAATGTCAGATTCTGATATTGTTTCAATGTCAACAGTATTAGAAAATATAACGTCGAATCAATGTCAGGTTTCAACATTGATTCAATATCAAAACCTGACGTTGTTTCAATATTAAAAAAGGGTGCAAGAGTGACGTTAGGTCAACGTTAGGGTCAACGTTGATTCAATGACATCACCTGATATTGACAATGTTTCCTTGCTATCTGGCTTGACGTTAGGCACTGTTGGGGGTGTGGTAGGTCGTATCTTGGCTGTTACTCGTATGCTGGGCTTTACCTTTGCTAAATGAACCAGTGAACTGGACCTCTGGACTCTGCTGTTAGTGCTTTTTGGAGCTTTTTAATGCACTTACTTGACCTGTTGTGCTTTTAATGGTACGAAGCGACTGTCCGAGAAGTCTCCTTCACTTCAATTCAGTTCTAATATTATTTCATTACTTAGCACTGATGCTAGCCACAATGCTAGACCCTTTGGATGCGTTTCAGGAAGATCTGCCAAATCAAACCCACTGTGGTGACTTAACTTAGCACTAATTAGCAGATATGTGCTCGAGTAGACTGTACAGTGTATAGATGTAACCTGCTAACCAAGCCAGCTAGCATTAGCTCAGAGGTTAAGAAGCTTGAGTTCTGTCTACAGACGTTATAAAAGATACACGCTGCATTCTTTTTAATGGCCACCAGGAGGCAAAGACATCTGGTCCTGAAAAGTAAACAGGAAACAGTCCTTCACACAGAACTCTGTGAATGCTTTCCTGCTGATTTTATGAGCTCAGTCACTCATTTTAGAAATGATTAATTATCTGTTTTCTTCCGGTTATCCGGGGCTGGGTGGCAGGGAAAGCAGCCTAAGCAGTGAAGGTGCTCTCCCTCTCACCGGCCGCCTCCTGTGAGGTGTTCCTAAGCCAGTGGAGAGATGTAATCTCTTTAGCCACGGCATCTCCTCCAACCTAAACTATTTATTAAACTCTTTAAAATTTGGTTATTTAATCACTGGCCAGTTACTTGTCAATCATAAGTTGTTGTTTTAGTTGTTTTATTGACTTATTGTCTTCTATATTTTACTGCATCACGGTTGTGCATTTTATTGATTTTAGTGGTTTTACATTCTTAAGCACTTTTGTGCTGTGTGGACTGTTGGAAATGTGCTATATAAATAAACTTGAACTTGACCTTGACCACAAGTTAATGACCAATGAGCATGCTCCAGCTCCAGGCGTGATCAGTTTGACAGTCGGATCCACCTCTCACTCATCACATCTGGTTTTAAAACTTGAGGCTTTATAACGAGACCTCACTAACCCCTGGATGATGTCATGATAGCCTGTCTATGTTTCAGATGCAAATACCAGCAGCACATTATCTTGGGCTGGTCTTATTATTTTGGCACATCAGTGTAAATTTACATTAGTCATTATTTGCTGCATTGATCACATGTCATTATACGTCATTAATGCAGTGTTTGTCTCATTTAAATGGATGCCGGGTTGACAAAAGTATTGTGTGTTAAAATGACTGAGACGGGTCATCTGTTAATGCACACGCACGGCTTTACCTTCCATTAGATGGAAACGCTGATGCAATTAGCGTAGTGCAATTTGTGAAATGGCAGCTCCAGCTGCAGGGGCAATCATGTGCAGTAAATGCTGCCCGTGCAAAAAAAGTGACCTCTTCTTCTGCAAAAGCTTTTTTTTAAAAAAAAAAAAAGAGAGAAAAGAAAAGAAAAACGTGAAGAGTCTGTTAAAAAGGCATTTCTGCTCCCGTGCCCACCGTTCCTCGCTTTCTTCTCAAGACATCTTTGAACTCAATTTGTTAGTACTTAAAGAAAGTGGAGTTCTCAGTTTGAGGGCAGGCACTTAAATCTGCCATTTATTCTGTTATCCCGAGGTCGACCCCGAGAGTTTTCCCGATGGCCGTATGGCTTATTCATAATGGCAAATTCTCCTTTCACCAATTCATACTTTGGTTTCTGTTCAGAACTTCTTTAAACAAGACATTCAAAGGAAAGGCAACGTTGTTAACTGCTCATCATATTCCTTATTTATCTCCCACTCCTCCGCACAGTTTGTCAGCGATCACAATTAGCACAAATTACACAAATTACTGGGTATTTTCTGCAGACTGCCTCATTTTTCCTCTTTCACTTCACATCTTGGTTAATTTACAGGATCACTGATATTTTGTAATTAATATATAATTTTACTCATGCAGCTAAGTGCATGAGTAAAATGGAAAATACCAGATTACATTCCATGTTCGGCCCCAGCCACACACATCCAGAGAGCCGACCACCGGTCAGTAAGAAAAAATATGTTTACCTGTTTCTGAATACGGCACTGAAATAAAAAAAACATCTCCCTACAATTGTTTTGATTGCTAGCAGATTACTGTGGTCACTGATAGTTTGCAGTGGAAGATACCAACATGTTTGCAAACACTCAAAATAACTGCTAACCAGCAGGGAAACCTGAAAAAGTGAAATGCAAACCAGGAACAGACAACATTCATCTGCAAAGAAAAACTCAGCCAGCACTCGACTTTTTAAACATTCTCCGTTTCCAGTTTGTGACTCAATTTTTCAAGTTTCACTGCAGCTCAGCGTTTAGAGACAGGTCAGCATTTTGTATGAAAAGTATAGGTCAGCTGTGGGCGACCAAAGGAACCTGAAGTTTTTGGTGCAGCACCAACTTTGTGACCGATTTCACGCAACGGCAGCCAAAATCACTCCGGGTGGTTTCAGGGGTTTCTGAGCGGTCCGCAGGCCTGAGGTCTTACATCTGTGTCAGTTAATCAGACTGAAAGGAAGCGGTCAGACGTACCTTTTGTAAACGTACGCTTACACTGCAATATCTTGAAAATGTGCTAAATGAGGTTACACTGGAACAATGATTATTATGCTCGGTTACTCTGGATGAAAATTTGGGGTCAGCGGGTGACGTGATAAAATAAGGATACAAATGTCGTGTGCAAAGTGAATGAATAAGTCTGTCACATATTTGTTCTCTCCTGAGGTATTATGTTGCTCTTACAAAAACCCTCCAATGTCAGAGACACCAAAGAGCTAGAGAAACTCAGTTTGTGGGATGAGAGTCTCACATCTCAGAAGTCTGAAACTCTCCAGTCAGGCAGGTGGAAGTCACACACCTGGATGCTGAATCTGAGGAGGAGGAAGATAAGGAGGAGAAGAACTGAGGCTTCAAGGATTTAATTAAAATTTGGGAGGTCGCAGGAGGTCGAGACTCTGGTGATCCACTCGCAGGAAATTTAAAATGTCATTTCCTTCTGGTGACTTTTCATGCATCTTTTCAGGTTAAATTTAGAGTGGAATTCTTTTTTCTGTAAGGGAAACGCATCAATCTGCCACGCGATGATAAAAGTGTCCCTAATAAACAGTGTTAGACACTGAATTTCAAATAAATTTTTTATATTTTCTATTTGTTTGTAACAGTGGTCCAACTCAGCTGTAACCTTGAACATAAGGAATAAAACTCAATATCAGTAACTTTTGGAGAGTTAGTGAAGGAGGGCTAACTGACACACTATGATGGAAAACTTTGTATGGATTTGAATATTTCTGATGTGGAGCTTAAAGTAGTCAAGGAAGGTCAATCAATAAAGAGCCTGATCATGGAGAGACGACCACCATCATACGACAGGAAGAAGATACCTAAAAGAGCCAAACTGCAGCAAACTGCCTGAGATCACTTCGTGCTGTCTGACTCAATGCCAGCATAAAGACTACAGTCGTACAGGCACCGACGAGCTCACAGTCCGTGACCGACTGCTTTCACCAAGTCCACAGAAAACACACACAGACTGGCTCTACAAACTCCCACACCCTCAAATATCCTCAATACGAGAGCGAGCCGAGGACGATGATCCACCTGAAGTTGAAATTTATATTGAAGTGTTCAAACATGTATGAAAAAGAGCATGAAGAGAATCTCCTGTCAGCTCTTTTTGTTTTTATCAGCTTAGATATGCTGTTATCTGATAAGCTGGGACTGTCTGTGTTATTCAGGCCAGGAAAGATGTTTCCTAGTTTTCCTGCAGACCACACAACACGCACACTACTGACACACACACACACACACACGCAGACAGTAACAAATGTCAAAACATCAAATATCAAAATTCATCATATACATATAAATTTATACACAAACAAGAAGCAGTTCTAATGAGAATAATGAATGAAACTCTGCAAACGTTTTTAAATTCTTTGGGAGCATATTCTTTAACTGGTTTAGAGGAGAAAGCTGATCGTGCAAGGAAAGACAAATCCCCTCTAAGGTGGTGGAGCAGCCTCATGGATGGTCTTACTGTATGTACTACACGTATGCTTGGGTATATTGTAGATGTCAATGAATTAAAGAGCTGATTGCTTAGAGTTCCTGGCAGAAGAACATTTTTCCAGGTGCTTACCAGAATGAGCAGGCAGTAGGAGGAGAACTCCTGATGAGCCGGGATGGTGGAGAACACAGAGAGGACCAGGCAGCTGAAGACCAAGACGAACCTGAACAAAAACACAAAACTGGAGTCAAACAGGATGACATCAATGGGCTGACCTCATCCACCCCACTGACCAAACCCTCATTTCCACTGGTCCCAAACAGGCTGTGCACTGAAGTGGAATTGTTCCTCTGTGACAAACTCTTGAACCCATTCTGGCAGTGAAGGAAGAGCAGCACACCAACGACCTGGCAGCGCAATCGCACAATTATTTCCTGTCTGCAGTGAACAGTGAGCCCGACCATTATTCAATTTCCTGAGATATCAAGTTAATCATGCTTGTTTGTGCAACATGGTTTGCAAGAAACAAGCAGTGAAACTGCGGCTCTTGGAAAACAAGCAACATCCGACCACTTCCACACTCCCGACTGTCGCTCCCTCCGCCAGGAAACCGTAGCTTTCCATCTTCATTGTTGTGTTTTGTTTTTCCATCACACAAAGCTTCCAAAATGAGAAATATGAGTGCAGCCTTTAGAGCTACAGTGGCTCCTGATGTTAAATGGTGAGAGCACATCTGTGTTTTATCATCTCAGTCTGCTGCACAGGCCCGTCTGACACGCAGTGTGTGTGTGTGTTTTCTCTTAACTATTGTGCAATGACAGCAACACAGCCCACTTCATGTTACACAGGTCTTGTTTTTAGGCCTCTGAAGTTCGCTTCAAATCATAAACACACCTTTAATTACAGAATTTCAGGTGATTATTTACACTTCTGTTGAAATCCAAGCAACCCCCCCACCGTTACAGAACTGAAAGCAGAGGCACCTTCTGCTGTCCACAATAAAACCGGGTTGCATCTATGAAAAGTATCCACAGTTCCCGTTTACTGCTTGATACAGAATAAACGTCTTTATTGAAATAACTGTGTTTATTGTATATATTACAAACTGTATATATTACAGGCAGGACCAAAGTCAGAGTACCAGAAATGACATTTAAGCAATAAAGATGGATTACAGTGTGCAAGACCTGTTTGAAAGCCTAAGCAGCTGAGAGATGAAGGTTGTGGTCGAATAGTTGGAATAATACCAAGGAAAGACGCTTCCTTTATTACCTTCTTTAGCAAAGGACACAGTGGATCATCCTTCATGAAGGGAAATGAGATACATGATTGAGTGGTTCAGGAAAAAAGTATATCAGCGTGAGTACCAAATGAAGTAGACGGTAGTTTAATTATAATCTGCATTTGCCTTCTAATATGTGGGTGTTTGAACTTTAAACAATGATAAAGTGAAGTGACGGCTGTAGTTTAGCTGCCATCAGTCATTTCACATCAGGTAAAGATCCATCCAATCATTTTCATAACTGTTTATCCAGCTCAGAGCTGTTGGGATGCTGGAGTCTATCCCAGCTGTCACTGAGGGACTCAGGTCTCCAGTCTATCACAGAGCCATCCGTCCTCGCCTGCAGCCAAATTACAATCACCAATCAAACACAAACTTCAAAAAGAAAGGCTTCCTCTCATGAATTCTCCTTCACATCTTTCCTTCCTGTCTTGATGTTTTACCTCAGATTCAAGGAAAACACACGGGAGAGAATCTTTTGAACTATTCAGCCTCAACCAGCAACTCCCACGGGTCTGCCTCCCTGCATCTGCATGTAGTCAAAACTAATACGTAGTGTCTACGAGGGATCCTGGTTAGATGCTTCGCAGACTTCAACAAGTCATTTCAGCCCTTTGTCAAAATACCAGAGTCAGCTTTTTCAGTCAGGATGGGACCAGATATCAGATCGGTGCATCTCTACATCTCCAGCATAGAAACGAGGCACTTTGGTGTTATTTTAACCTGGAAACTCACAATCCATTTCCACTTCCATTCTCAGGCCACAGAACAGTCACCACTGGATAAGCCGATAAAGACTCCTAGCTGGCAGCGGACTGACTTTTAAAACAGCTTTGCATGCTACTGGAATTTGAAAAAGGTTTTTCACATTACAATCATTTCCTCTAGGAAAAATATCATTTCTGGCAATCTGACCTTGGCCCTACCCACAATGCAGTTTGTCCCTGTGCACAGCTGTACCGAAGCGGAGACTGGGGACTCCTTCCTATGGGCCCCTCGTGCCAAACTGACCCCAGATTATCACAGAGTTGAAGGGAAGTCTTTCAAGCTTGTCTGCCGGGCCCATCAGGACTACTTCCAGTGTTTGAATGGTGCCTGTGTGAAAATAGTGGGTGTGCAGAGCAGGTCACACTCCCATACCCCACAGAACAGTACAGGACTGTGCTGTTCTGACCCCACTTGGGCCCTCGCCGACATGCAGAGAGCCAAAATGAAGGTCAGGATTTTCCACAGCCTTGGGGATGGTTATGTCATCATTTCTCGACCCATGAGTTCTCCTCCTGCTCTGCGACAGGCCTCGCAGAGCTGCTGGAGGTTCCGAATGAAACGAAAAGCATAAAGTATCGAAAGTTTGAGGTTTGCACTGTTGACATTTCCAAAGATTTGAATAATGTGCTTTTGATTGGAGGAAAACATCTAGTGACAAGCATTGTGGTGCTGTCAGCTGAAGCACGAGCTCCTTGTCAGTGGCACACCTACGCCTCTCGCACTTACAAGGTTGTCAGACCGAAAATTATAGAGTGACAATCAACTCCCTTCATCCGTAGCCTAACTCATGTTTCCAGTTTGAATATATTTACTTTAAAAAAAAAATAGGGGGTGGGGGGGTGGGGGGGGGATGAAGTGAAAAGCCCTGTGACAGCATCATTAAGTTCTCAATGAGGTTCATTAATTAATCCCACAAGGTGAGGCTCTCGGACGGCCATGGCCCCCGTGTGTCGTGATGCCCTGCACTCAGAGCTGAAGGATTCATCTGGAGCATCTCGTTCAGTGCTCCCAGCAGAGTGATCGCTCTTAACCTTCCAAACAACACTGACTGAAAATTAAACTGGCAAACACAAAGAAGGAGAGGTACGTCCTTCCACCTACTCACCCTCCACCTCCCCTGCGCTCGCACGTTGGCCCAGCATCACGGAACAAGTGGTGAGTGCTGCTCTGATTAGCATAATTTAATTGATTTGTCTGCAAAATGAGCTCCAAAACTAATGATATCCGCAAACTGCAATGGTATATTGCAGCTCATTATCACTCTGAATTTGATTGGCAGACATTTCTCCACAGTCTCCTTTTTATCTGTCATCTTGGATGATAGGAGGGTAAGGAGAGCGGGGCAGTAAATGGCCTGGAGTGGAATTAAAGCCATGCCTCTGCAGTGAGGACACAGCTTTCACCAGGTGAGCTGCAGGGCGCTCCTGAATGTTTTTTGCCAGAAAGTCAAAAAAATGACTTTGATGCAATGCAAAATGCCACAAACAGACAGCGAGACACAAAATAACCACAAAAACATGCAAAATCACCAGTACGAGGCTGAAAATGACCACGGAGATGTGCAAAAAAGATCAGAGTGAGAAAAGCAAATGGGAGACAGAGGGGCCATTATAAGATACATAAGAATTAATTTGAGCTTTGAATTATGTAAAGCTGCAAAGAATGTCCATCAAAGAAAATAAGAAAGCTGAAAATTAGCAGAAAAGAGCCTCTTTAATACGCCTGGCTGAACACTCTCTGTCCACTGATAATAAAGAAGAAGAATTTTTCACCTCAATGTTTGGTTCAGTGCAAAAAACATAAAATTTAAATAAAACTGGAAAAATAAATCTAAGATGAGGACGTCTGTGTCCTATTAATGAAAGGTCTCTGCCCAATAAAAGACATCAAAATCTGGCTTTGCCGTCTTAAACGTGTTCCTTTCAGTTGTCCGTTTGTTAGGAGCTGGTTTTCGCAGCAGTTCGCAGGTGAGACACAAACAGGTTTTTCTAAAAGTGAGAATCTGCTGCCCGAATGTTTTCATCACTCACACACCTGAATAATCTGCGTAGCAGAGGAAAACGTGCACCCTGGAGCCCTGCAGAGGTCATCGTTTTGATTTGATTTTATCTGACTGCAAACCAGTTCAAGTTTAGCTTGAGCCATAGTTGTACTTTTATTATGTATTTGCCTTTATTGTATTTTATGTAACCTTTTTTTTCACTTATTCAGTTTCAACATTTTTACTTTAGCGTGGCTTCATCTTTGATCCTGATTTTTCTTAATTTTCTTATCGACCATTTCAATATTTTCCTTTTTGTTTTTTGTTTTAAGATTTCTTATTGTTGGATATTATTTTTGCTTTATTACATCTTGTTATCAGCTTTGCAGTTCCTGTGTATTGTGTGTTCATCACTCAGCACAAAAGGAGCTATAAACTAAAGTCTAACTGATTGATTGCCCCATTTAACCTGGTTTTTACACTGTAGGGTCATGTGAGCGTGCTCAGTACACGTGTCACTGTATGCACAGAGCGTATGCAGAACAAGCAGCATGGCGACTCATTCACATCTACATGTGGTGTAATTAGATAAACTGTGCAGGACAAAAACTGAACATATTTCCCACTTTATGTGTCAAATCTGCATAAAGAAGCTCTACTCCCACTTAAAAGCACCTTCCTGATTAGTTCTGTCGTGTGTTAATTGGACCACAGCACACTAATAGATTGATTAATGATGTCGTAATGATCACATGTGACTGGGTTTATGCCAGATGATGTCATAAGCTGTTTTGAGACACATGACACAGATATATTATCTGATGCTGTCCATGGTCCTGAAACCAAATCCTGCTCCTGCCCTTAGATTTTAGTTTCAGAGCAGATGTCACACGATCGAACTTGATTTGTCTTCAGTGATCCCACCTGCCGATCTGCCTTTTCATTGAACAGAGATCAGCTGGTGCACAATCAACAATTATTCTACTTTAAAGAATGCATCACCACTTTACACATGATGCTGTTAGTGTGGTGCTATAGTGGAAGCTTTGCAACTGTTTAGTAAACAGAGCAATCCAACGTACATTCTGTGATCTGATTTTTAAATCTGAAACCATCAACTGTCTCAGGCTACATTCCCGTTTTTTGGGACAAAACATTAGGACGTCTCAGTGCTGCAACTTTATGAAACCGC